GCCTTCTGGTGTTAATTGGTCTCTATGTCTGATTTCTAATCCTAAAATCTACGCTGAATAGTGCAAGAATTTCTAAAAATACCGACGTAGGATTTCTATGATACATTCTCTAAAAGCATATTTATTATTTTTTTACACACAAAAGTCACTTCAATTTAGATAACATTAAGAACCTCACTTTTACTCTTTGAATACTGAATACGAGTTTAAAGATCTTAACTCTTCCATGTCCTTTTGTTATTAATGTGGGAAGGATATTTGAGATTCTGCTAACAACTTCTCACAGAAGATAATATTAACGAAATAGAGGTATTTTATTTCTAAACATCAGTTTAATAGACTTGCAACTTCATAGTTAAATTGTGCCATTAGTTCTAACTTAAAAGTATACATAGTTATAACTTCTTTTTAACAAAAACAAAATTTTGGTTTTCAATACCCTCAAGAATTATTGAAATAATTCCAAATCAATATTATTCTAGTTCCTAATTATAGTAGGTGACTCAATAAAATAAATAACTTAATAAATAAAATAAGCTCAGATTTTAAATGATTTTCATGATTTCTTAAGCAGATTATTCATTTATCTTTTATCATCTAATAATGTATTTAGTAAGAACCTATTATGTCCAGATATTGCGTGGTTGCTAAGGATTAAAAAAATAAAACAGTCCCTTCTTCAAGGATCTCAGATTAGTAGGAATCTACTCATGTTGAAACAATAATGGGTTTTAGTGCAAAGCAAAATTTAAACACAATTCTTTAGTGGTTTTTCTATTTTCCTTATTTTATTATTTTTTTGCCAGTTAAATCCAAGTAAAAATACATTCTCCCCTTTCAAATAAGTTATATCATTAAACAAGTTATATACATATTAGCACAGAGAAATATATGGGATCATTTTCCCAAAGATAAGTAGTGGCCACACAAGAGTGATGCTTGCACGATTTTTAAAATAAGCATGAACGTTGAAAAACAAGCTAGTACCGTACTTTCAAAAGTAAGTTTCTATCCCTGGAACTAAAACAGAAAAGAAGAGGTGTGAGATACACAAATGAAACCACGAAATTTAGCCAAGGGCTTGAGACTTCCGTGCAGAATGTTCCTAAACGGCTCCTGGCAACAATAGGTCGCCCCCGTCCTAAAAGCAACCTAGGTGGCGGCATCTCCTACTTAAAGGTTTCATCCCTCCCAGCCCGACCGGCAGAAAACCCACGGTCTAAACCACCATAATCTTTGGAGAAACAATCTGATTGGCTAAGAAATGAATTACGCAACGTATCCCAAGCCCACTGAGAACCGGCCTCCCCAGGCCTGGCTCAGATTCCGCTTTCCGATTGGTCCCTACGGCAAGAGTGTAAGGACAATTGCTGAAGTTGACCCCTGGGTCCGGAAACGCGGGCGAAGATGGCGGCGGCCAGGTGTTGGAGGCCTGTGCTCCGCTGTCGGGGGCTGTCATTGCACACGGCTGCCGAGACCGCCGCCACGGCTCCAGAAACAATCGGCTCAGATGTCGCGGCGACACTAGTCGCGCGGTTCCCTCCGATTGGGGCCTCCTTGACTGCCGACAGCAAGGCGGCGCGGCAGCGGCGGGTGGAACGCTGGCAGGCGACGGTGCATGCGGCCGAGTCAGTGGACGAGAAGCTGCGAATCCTCACCAAGATGCAGTTCATGAAGTACGTGGTTTACCCACAGACCTTCGCCTTGAACGCCGACCGCTGGTACCAGGGCTTCACCAAGACCGTGTTCCTGTCGGGTCTGCCGCCCCCTCCTGCGGAGCCCGGGCCCGGGCAGGCGCCGGACATAGAGGCCCTGCGCGCCGCCGTGTGTGACTTCCTCCTGCAGGAGCACTTCTACCTGAAGCGCAAGCGCCGCGCGCCCCTCTACCAGGAAAACGAGGCCGTCGCATCGCCCTTCTTGGATCAGCTGGTGGCCGCCCTCATAGGCCTGCTTTGTCCACATAACCCGGCCCTGGCTGCAGCCGTCCTCGGTGAGCCTCGGGCCCCCCACGTCGGAACTGGGAAGGTGGAGATTGTACTAGACCACTCCGCCTCAGATTTGCCCCCTCGTCATTACTTTCTCTCTGCTTCGTCCATAACCCGGCCCTGGCTGCAGCCGTCCTCGGTGAGCCTCGGGCCCCCCACGTCGGAACTGGGGAGGTGGAGATTGTATTAGACCACTCCGCCTCAGATTTGCCCCCTCGTCATTACTTTCTCTCTGCTTCGTCCTTTTTTCTAGCCCCTTGATTTCTAGCTGTGTGCGGCCTAGTTGAGTAGCAGTCACTGCGTTAGGAATCAGGAGAGTGGGTTCTCGTGACTGCCCTGCCACATACTGGCTGTTCAACTATACTAGTAGTCTAAGCTCTGCAGAACTCCAGTCCTTGACTCTGCTTTGTGAATGTCCAGCCAAATGGAAGAAAAGCGGCTCCTTTAGAGAATGGGCTAGAACTGGGTTGCATTTTGGCTCTTCCACCAAAAGCTGTTTGACCATATGTAAATTCATTAACCTCTTGTAGCTTAATTTTTCTCATATCCAAGATGAGAATTAAATAATAGTACTTCGTCTTAGAATTGTGAAGATTAAAGTAGATATTTGCTAAAATATTTAACGTTTATTCAGTATTTATTCTGTACCAGGCCCTGTTATAAGTTTTAGATGTGTCAGCTAATAGTTAATCTTCACAATAACCGTTTACAGTAAGTAACATTGTTTTATAAATGGAAAAGAAAAGAGAAAACCAAGGCATAGAAATGTTAAATGTGTCTAGTCTAAGTCTACTGTTTCTATAGGGTATAGCTGGTAGATTTGGTGGTCAAGATTCAAACCCAGCCATTCTGAGTTCCCAGTAAACAATCAGAAACTTTTATTTAACTGTTCAGTGCAGACATGAAAGAGAAGGTATAGACAATTTTAAAAATCAGTGTTTCTGACTTGTTCATGATTTTATATCTACTACCCAATAGGTGTCTTAAAATTTATTGAATTATTGTTATAATGACCGTAGGTGTGTGCTCAACCGAACCTTGTAGTGTGCATGTTACTTCCCTTCCTCGGTAAGGAAGTGGTCTTGAGGGAAGCCTCATGGTCTTTGAGTACTCATGATTGGTGACCTAGGAAAACAACTTTATGGAGACCTAGGGTCCTCATATATAAAATAGAGATGATGACAACTGTCAGCACCTTTGAGAGTTATTGTGAAGACTTAATCAATTCATAAGACAGTTCTGACTTTTATTAAACTTTTTATTTCTGGTATTCCTGTTTGTTTTATTTACTTTCTGTTTATTATTCTTAAGTGAGAAACCTCTTTGGTTACAGTGTTCAGCATAATAATAGCACAAGTAGACAGTAAATGTTTGTTATATTGAAATCATAATTAAAGCTAAATCATCACATAACTTAGACTCTTAATCTTACATCAGAGAGTGATTTTGGATATGTTTTTTAATTAGCACACTCATTCTTAAGTTGTCTATTTCTAAGTTAGTATTCTTTAGTATTCTAATCATAACTAAATGTATCAAAATAATCAGATGAGGAAATTCTGAATATCTTTTGATAGATTGTAAACGCCCAGTTCACTTTTACTGGTTGCGTGGTGAAGAAATTATTTCTAAGGGTCATCGAAAAGGTCGAGTTGATGCTTTGCGATACCAAATAAATGATAAACCGCACAACCAGATTCGAATATCCAAGCAACTCTCAGAGGTAAGGACTTATTGTATATGTGTTTGTTGACATCTCATGGAGGAAATGTCATAGGAAGACTAATGGGCTTGTAGAATAAAATGTTTTGGCTGGGTTTCTTACCTTTCAAATTTGCCTTGAAGACATCTGATCTGAAAAGTCTTTTTTAGCTTTTTACTCTGCCATGGAATTCCGCAAAGGTCAAATAATCATTTTAAGAGTGGTTAAGACATCTTTTCAGTGCCGTGCAGATCTTTTCTTTTTCTTTCTCTTAATGTAAAAATGCTGATAATAGTTTATGATTGTAATTTATAGTAGACTACACTAGGTAGTCATAAATCAAGGGATATTTACAGTGAAGAGCTGGGTCATTTTACATATTTGCAGTTCCTTTGGAGAAAAACAAGTATATTTCGAGTATTGTCCGTACTTCCTTGCTTACATTTGTTCTGTAAAAGTTTAGATAGTTAATATTTTAGGCTCTGTGGGACATAATTCTCTATTACAACTATTCAGCTTTGCTCTTACAGTGTAAAAGCAGCCATATACAATATATAAATGAATGTGTATGGCTGTTCTAATAAAACGTTTTTGATAAAAACAGGTGGCTGGCTAGATTTGGCTCATATTAGGTGATGGTATTATCAAATCATTTTGTAAAAATGCCTCATTTAAAAATTTTTTAATCTAATAAGAGTGTGAGTAAAACACATACTAATGTTGCTATGAACTCAGTATGTCTTTTCTTTTTCTTTTAAGTTCTGGCTGGCTAGATTTGGCTCATATTAGGTGATGGTATTATCAAATCATTTTGTAAAAATGCCACATTTAAAAATTTTTTAATCTAATAAGAGTGTGAGTAAAACACATACTAATGTTGCTATGAACTCAGTATGTCTTTTCTTTTTCTTTTAAGTTTGTGCCGTTGGATTATTCTGTTCCTATAGAAATCCCTGTTATGAAATGTAAACCAGACAAACTTCCATTATTCAAACGGCAATATGAAAACACCATATTTGTTGGTAAGTTTTTCTTTTGACATACCATGCCATAAATGTGTTCAAAATGTCCTGTGCAAATTTAGAGCATTAATTATAAAGAAAAATTAATTCTTGATGACAGGCTCAGATAGTCCATAAGCAATATAATTCACAATCTCAGGTTATTGCAATATGCATGAAAATTGGAAAGAAGCTATTCTTTCAGGTCATCTTTTGAAATTTTTTCTGCTTCTACTGAATTAGTATTTCACTTTAAAAAACTTATACATATGAGACTTTGTCGATTTATAATACAGAAAAATTGATTTGTGTTTTTTCAAAAGAAAAGTTTAGAATTAGACTTGCAGTAGCCATTGACTTTTCGACTGAAGCGTCCTGTTCATGCTACAAATGGTGATAACCATCAGGAATTCAAACATTAATGAGGACTGATGTCTGCCCTTATGCAGCTTATTCTTTTGCTGCCTTTTCTTTTCTGTTTTCTTTTCTTTTTTTCTTTTTCTTGAGGAAGATTTTAAGAGAGCTTTATACTAGTTCTCCAGACCCTTCTCAGTCCCTGTAGTCTTAGGTAGGCAGTGACCTATGGGAAAATTTGTCGAAAAGACTTTACCGCCGTTCTTTAAAGTCAAGAATCTCAACGTTTCATGAAATGTCAGTCCTTATTTTCTTTACTTAGAAATGTAGTGTAAAAATTATTTTTTTAAAAAAAATTAGGAACAAGGTGTATAATTATTATATTAAGTAATAAAGGAAGTTTTTAAAGTCATGACGAGTTTGTATCCTCTGGTGAATATGACAGAGAAACTAATAAAACAGGATAATGACTAAGAGGTTTGAGAAAAATGAGAGAATAGAGAATTTTAAATAACTTTTACATACATTCTTTTGGTTTATTCTGTATCACAGTGGGTTTTATGATGACTAGCAGGTCAAGAAATTGTGCTTCTATGTGCAATTTACTTTATTATAATCCATAAAGTAAGTAAACTGATATTCCCATTTATAAATGAGAATTTTCAGTACTGAGTTCATGATGTATGGAGAAGAAAAATGAGTTTGAATACTAAATGCTAAAACCATGTGCTCCAGATGTTCTACATGTGCATTTCATCTGAAATATTTTTATTTCACTCTTCAGGCTCAAAAACAGCAGATCCATGCTGTTACGGTCACACCCAGTTTCATCTGTTACCTGACAAATTAAAAAGGGAAAGACTTTTGAAAAAAAACTGTGCTGATCAAATAGAAGTTGTTTTTAGAGCTAATGCTATTGCAAGCCTTTTTGCTTGGACTGGAGCACAAGCTATGTATCAAGGTAAAACTAATATGAGATTGTTGTTCTTTGAAAGTTTCTGTTACATTTTAGGAATTTAATAGTTCAAGATGTTTTCTTTGGGTTAAAATGTAGATGGAAAATTAACATTTTGAAAATTTTTGCATTAGTACAAAATTTAGTTGTTTTAAAATTCGTAATTAAATATTTTACATTTGAAATTTGCAAGTGGCACTTGGCTAGTTAGTTTGATCTTTTACTTTGGCCACCTTCTGTGTGAATGTATTTTTTTATGATGGTTTTCTTAAGCATTTCAAAGACTATAGTCAACTAAGTCAACTCTTTGTAGGTGGTAACAACTTTCTGAGGGTAGAAAAGGAAATGATTTGGTAGAGTAAATACTTAAATCATGGCTATCCTGTATACTTTCTTTAAACGCTATATTCAGGATTTGGTTCAGGAGATTGTTCATTTGTTTAGTAAATAGTGAATGCTTTTTATATTCCTGACATTGTTGGCTTTGGAGATAACAGTGTTGAATGAGACAAATCCTGCTCTCCTGGAGCTTATAATAGGAGAGTAAAAGACAATCAGCATGTAATGTTTTCAGCTAGTGGTAATACCGTGGAGAAAATATTAGAGTAAGTGGTAGAGTGGTTTATGGGGTGGCGGGTATAAATGAAGTGTGAGGTGGAATCTGTTTAAATAGAGTCATTCAGGGGAGGTCTCTATAAAAAGACTTTTGAACAGAGACCGGAATGTTGAGGATCTGCCTATGCACAAATCTGTGGGAAGACACTTCCAGGCAAAAGGAATGGCAAGTAAAAGTCCCTGAGATGGGAACAGGCGTGACATGTTTGAGGAACAACATGAAGGCTGATGAGGAAAGTGGGGGAGGGGAGTGACGGAGGATGAGGTAGAGGAAGCAGAGGCTGTATCATGTAGGACTGTTAGAGTCCATTGTGAAACATTTGGATTTTATTCCAAAATCTGAAGTAATATACTATGAACTAGATTAATCCTATTTGATATTCAGGAGGAATTTTAATACAGATTTAACTGTTACTAGGCTTATGTTTTTTTTGTGTGTATATGTTTTAACCTTATACTCACAATTGTTGACTTATATTTCTGTACTAGAATTGAATGGATAGAGTGGGAATAGTAATAGACAGAGGCAGAAAAAGTGAGAGGTAACTTCCTTGAAGATGTTAGATGGCAGTTTATTCCTGAAAGATAAAGTACAACTTCATCTTTTACAGTAGAACTAATTACGTATTTTAATTATATTATTCATTGGTTGTCTCCATTAAGTATGATATAAAATATGTGTGGAGAAATAAAGTTACTGCTTGACCTTGGCAATTGGGCTTAAAAGTATTAAAGTCAGTCATTCTGGAGCAAAAATCAGCCAGGAAATTTGAGTAGTAAAGGTATTAAGGTATTAAGGCATCCTGGAGCCATTTATGATGTAATACACATCAGGCAAAACAGCAGCAACTCATAAAACCAACTTTGAAATATGTAAAGCAAGACAGTGGATTTTTCTAAGGACATTGTTGAAATCCTTAGAAAGGCAGTTTATTCTGAAGATATTGTTTTTGTGGATTTGATGAAGTAATTGGTTATTGAGTGGGAGATACTGCTAGTATAGGGGAAACATGAACATACTTGAAGTCTGGGAGCAGTGATGTAGGAGGGATATGCATAAATAGAGTTTGCTGTTCTTTTTAGATTAAGTTAAGGTTGAAAGCTATTGAAAGCTGAAGTTGTTAACAAAAGATGAGTCTTGAGTTTGGGGATACTAGAAGGGAGGAAATAATTCTTGATGCAGAAATGGAATATAGGGTTAGAATGGAGAAAATAGGGAAACTTCGAGATCATCAGGCATTCGGTAGGTAAAGTACGTAGGTTGCAAGAGATGTTTGATACCCTCTAATGTGTTTGTTTTGTTTTGGTAAAATATATTCTGTGTGTAAATTTCAGCATACCTTTCTTCTGCAGGATTCTGGAGTGAAGCAGATGTTACTCGACCTTTTGTCTCCCAGGGTGTGATAACGGATGGAAAATACTTTTCCTTTTTCTGCTATCAGTTAAATACATTGGCACTGACTGCACAAGCTGATCAAAATAACCCTCGTAAGAATATATGTTGGGGGACACAAAGTATGCCTCTTTATGAAACAATTGAGGACAATGACGTGAAAGGTTTTAATGATGATGTTCTTCTTCAGATAGTTCACTTTCTGCTAAATAGACCAAAGGAGGACAAAGCACAGCTGTTGGAAAACTAAGAAAAAATATTTTTGATTCTGGACTTTGGAATATTTGAATTTCACTGAAGGAACAATAAAAGGGATTTTAATGATGACAGTGTCAGATATTAAACACATTGATTTTTTGAGACAAATATTTCTTATGTTAACCTGTGGTTAGACCTCTTATTCTGCTCATATTCACCACTGAAATATATTTAATTTTAGATATAGTACATTGATTTAATAATTTTATTTATTTATGGCTAACTGATAAGACTAATTGAGCTATCTTCAGTACCTCAGTATTGTGAGTGATTTTTAAAAGTAATATAAGGGCAATAATTCAAATGCTTGAGAATATGTAGATGATTTTATTATATTTTTTTCTTTTTAATATTTTTATTAATAACATAGTATAGAGTTTCAGAGCTCTACTTAAACCTCTTCAAAACATGAATGATATTTTGCACATATAGGAAACTGAGGCCCAGAAAAGTTAAGTGACTTTTGCAAGGTGTCACAGATGATTAATAAGAGAACTAATAAGTTACACACAACTTAGTTTCTTAGCATTTCTTGGAAGGAATGCTAACGTATTTCAGTTAGTGTTATTTCCCAGTCCCAAAGATTAGGAAACCAGCTTTGCAGTGTTTCAAATCAATTGTCTTTCAGTAAAATTGTTATTATTATTGAGAATTAAGGTTTATTCAAACCATTTTTAGTGGGAAAGAAGAATCACCTTTCTATAATCATGCTTACACTTGTTGTTTTATATAACCTATTCTGAATATTTAATATATCACATTATTTACCATATTCATATAACAAATAATTTCTGGGGTGTTTTTTCTTTTTTTTTTCTTTCTTTCTTTCTCTTGCTCATTTCTTTCTTCTTTCCTTCTTTCCTCCCTCCCTCTCTCTCTATTCAAACCATTTTTAGTGGGAAAGAAGAATCACCTTTCTATAATCATGCTTACACTTGTTTTATATAACCTATTCTGAATATTTAATATATCACATTATTTACCATATTCATATAACAAATAATTTCTGGGGTGTTTTTTCTTTTTTTTTTTCTTTCTTTCTTTCTCTTGCTCATTTCTTTCTTCTTTCCTTCTTTCCTCCCTCCCTCTCTCTCTTTCTCTTTTTCTCTTTCAAGACAGAGGCCAAGGTTATATTGGTAGATGCTTCAGGCTAGAAGCCCAGAGATTGTTTACCACAAATGATTGCTGAACTGAAGGAATATCACTTGAAAGATAAAATTTAGTACAACCAAATGCCTCCTTTGCAAGACATTGTTCTAAGTGTTCCATCTTTCGCACACTACTTCCAGTTTACCCTGAATGTCATGTAATTTCACAACACCATTCTTTTGTTTAAGCTGTTTCCAATGCTTGGAATACTGTTCTGTACCCTTGGTCCTGTCTATTCCCACCTGTCTATTGCAGTTCCATTCATTCTTCATGGAAAAATGCAGATATATAGGGAGCAACCATACCAAACTCCAATTTTGGCCCTCACTTTCTAACTTACTGAACCTTGGATAATTTTAGTTACCATCCTCCACTTCTGCTTCCATAAAACAAAGTAATCTCACAAAGTTGTAAGGATTAAGTGAACTAGTGCCTGTCAAAGTGCTTTAAAATACTGCGTAATTAAAATACTTAGGGTTCAGTTGAAATGCCATTTCTAAGCCATACCTGATTAATTGTCCCATACTTTGAATGCTTATCCCTCTGTGGTAGCACTTGTTTCATTCTTTTGTAACAATTTTTCTCATTACAAATGGTGGAGAGCACACACAGACACATACATCCTCCTTCCCCCTATACCTATACATCTACTTCAGAATTTATATAGTACTTACTATGTTCTAGAGCCTGGTCTAAGTATTTTGCTTAGAATGATCACAATCATTGCATGAACTAGGTACTATTATTCCCATTTGAGATGACTTAAAAGGACATAGGCAGCCCAACCACTTGTTGAAAGGTCACACAGCTAAAAAGTGACAGGGTTGTAATATGAACCCATTGTACTATTAACTCGGTCTGACTCCCGAGCCTACTTAAAACCACCGAGCCTACTTACAACCACCGTGGTAGATGTGCTACAGGTGTTACAAGAGTGGTACAAATTTAGATACAAGATTGATTAATTCTGAACAATGTGAATCCTTGTCTTGGAGCAAGTAACATTTGAACTGGTACTTGATAGATGGCATCTTCCAAAAATGGGGGTAAGTGGATGGAAATATGAATGAAGGTGAAAGTCTGCAGGATTTACTTGGGAAATAGGCAGTAATTTGATTTATGTAGGTTGGATGTGATCTAAAAGCAGTTGTGGAAAACAAATATTTACCAGGTAATGAAAATCTAGTTGATTTCAGAATTCTGCCTAACACTGAAATTAGAAAACAATGTAGCAATACTTATAGACTTATGGTGTTAGATCAGAAGAAATCTACGCTAGTCAAGATATAAATATGTAGGACAATTGGGAAAACATCAGAACACCCAAGTCCCTTATGAAATAAACTGAAAGTATACTGAAGTTCATTAGCAAATGATTTAATGATGTGAACCAAGGAATGGAGAATCAAAATGAATACAAATATCAAAGTGAATATGTGAGTAAACAAAGTCATGGCAAAAGTAAGCATAAAGCAAGGTTAGCAATATTTTCAAACAACTTAAGGCAAGAAAAGACATGCAGTGTTAAAAGGTCATGTTGCAAATTGTAATCAGTATATGAAATGATAATGCAAGTCTTAGTAAAAAAATAAGGAGTAATTAAGAAAGTTGGTTTACATAAAATTTGGTACCTTAGAAACAGAATAGATGTTTTAAAATGAGATAGACCATTTATACAAAATTATTTATTAGGCTTCAGAAAGTGTCAGGAAATTCTTAAAAGCAGGAATTATATAAGCTGTGAACTCTATACCACAGTATACCCAGAAATTATTAATATAGTTTTAAACTAGAAACAATCATTTGAAAATAAAAAATATATTCCTAAATAACTACTTAATTTGCCTGGACAGAATATTCAGTATATAACTAAACAGTAACATAGCTATATCACAATCTAAATGAAAGCTAGGTAATCTTATTTTCCTTTTCTTTTTTAGTTAAATGTATTTTTTACTTGATCTGGACATTTTTACATTTCTTATAATTGAGAAAGTTGATTTCATTGATTAAGAAAGCATTTTGTTAATGTAGAAGTAAAATGAGTAGACTAAAATGGAAACCCTGCATATAAAAGTGGGATAGAACTAGTTATCTTGGATGTTTACGCCTGTGGATACGTGAAGCTGCAACCTGAGACAACCACTGAATAAACAACCTGTCACCCTTTAGCAATTGTCAACTAACTTTGCTTTAATTTTACGAGTAAAACTATTTTTATATTAAAACCACACAGAATGTAAAAAGAAAACATTTTTTAAAAGATAAAAGGAAGCTTAATGAAATTTTCACTGATCTCAGAACTCTGGAAGAACATATGTCTTACTTACTCTTCGTGGTCTTAGGTTTGAGTCCTGTTTACCAGTATACCTAATGACAAATTCATAATGTATGTTTATTTAAAGTAAGAAAATTAAATCAGCATTTGTATGTATGTGTTTATATAAAGTAAGAAAATAAAATGAGCATCTGTTTTAACAAGCCTAATGAAAATGGGAAGAAGACTAAATGTAAGAGACAGTGAACTGGAAAGGAGAAAACAGAACTAACAAATTGTCAAATAAGCAGTTCTTTGCCCTATCCCCTCTCACATCAGTAAAGATGTAGAATAATAATAATAGTAAAGAGACAATGTTCTGGAAAATCTTATCAAGAAGAAAAAGAATACATTTAGAATTATAGAAGGTGAAGTAATATACATAGTGGAGACTTTAGATAGATAAGAAAATATACACAACATTAATTTGGACATTTGCTCCTGAGAAATACAAAGAAAATCAAGTAAAGATAGAAAACTTAAATAGACCATGGAAGACACTGAAAATGTTTCTAACAAATCTTTCCAGAAGGATACAGAGCAATACAGTTTATCCATGAATTCTTTGAAATTTCCCTGTAACAGTAAAGTTTGGAATGCTACTCAATTCATTTTATGAATTCATCCTAACTTTTCAAAAATTATTTAAAAATACATAGGTTAAGTACACATTTTAATATAATTGCAGTAATCTCAAATAAAATGTTAACATACTAAATTCAACAGTAATTTAAAGAATCCACTATAGCCGGATAGGATTAATCAATTCAGTAATGGATTAACATTAGGAAATATGTTAATAGAGAACATCAGTTGTTTAAAGGAAAAAAATAAAGCTTTTGATAAAGCTCTCAATTTTGGTTTAAAAATGAAAGGAAAAGTAGATAAGTATTAATAGGATACTTTAAAGAAAATCTTGTCTTAGTCAACACCCAACTCATATTTAATTGTGAAACATAGTGATATTCCCATTCAAATCAAGGCCACCAGCTTATGTTAATAGAGAACATCAGTTGTTTAAAGGAAAAAAATAAAGCTTTTGATAAAGCTCTCAATCTTGGTTTAAAAATGAAAGGAAAAGTAGATAAGTATTAATAGGATACTTTAAAGAAAATCTTGTATTAGTCAACACCCAACTCATATTTAATTGTGAAACATAGTGATATTCCCATTCAAATCAAGGCCACCAGCTTTGACCTTTATGTGCTGTTTGCTGATCCATTCCAAGGGCCTATAATCGTAGAAGATACTTGGTAAATGTTTATTAAGTGAATATGAATTAAAGAATTTAAGGTAGTCAATTTTTCTAGTTTGAAATCTGGTATATCTTTTTTATTTACATCTTTCATATCTCAGCAAAGTTCAGAGTTTTCTTTATGTAGATATCCACACATTTTTTACTTATGCCTATATGTGCAATTGTGAGTGGATTTTTTCTTTCCAATTATATTCCTTTTTATAGCTTTTTCAATGGCTTTATATAGCTGATATTGCTATACATTTATTTTGTAAAAACCAATTTAATTAACTCATTAAATTCAAGAATTTTTCAGTTGATTCTCATGAGGCACATATGTCTGATCGGCTTTGGGTTCCTCTGAAGTTTCTTATCAGCATAGATAACCATTAACCTCTATGTAGC